CACACACACACACACACACACACACACAGTGCCTAGATCCAGAATACTCTGCGGTGGGAAGGATCGGTGCGCAACGCGTCTGGAGGTCAGTGGCTCGGGCAAAGGGGGCTCCCTCTCTCTCTCCACCTTGCCCTTGCAGGCTGCGGAGGATGGGCTTTGGAACGCAACGGTGGGGAGCCGCCAGCCTTTCCCTCCGCCAAAGGAATACAGATCTGGTGCCCCCCCCTCAAGGCAACGTTGCTCGACCTTGCCCCCTCCCCCCTTGGAGCTGGGTGAACTTCAACTCCCAGAATCCTCCAGCCTACTGACCGGAGGATTCTGGGAATCGAAGTCCACCCAGCTGAAAAGGGTCCAAGGTTGAGCGCTGCTCTCGTAGACTTTGCGTGTTCATACAAGGGAGTAATTTTAAAATCCTGGTTACTTTCACCGCATCCGCTTTGCAGGAGAAACCATTTTTCCAGCCGGGAAAAAAAAAAATTTTTCCTGCTGGATTGGAAAGGGTGGACTTTGGCCGCCACAGCCGAGTGCAACAGTTGGAAGGGTGATGGTGGGGAGTCTGGGGTCCTATATGCGTCTCTCCCCCCCGCTTCTCCCTTGTGCCCCGCGGAGAATTACGTCGCTTCCCCCCCCCCAACCCGCAGCAATTTTCCAAGATTCGTTTTTAAAATCCCAGCAAAATCCTGCTTGTTCATACGGGTTTCTTTGGAGCCGGCCGCTAGAGGGCGCTCTCCGCTTTCTCTTTTGCTCTGACGCGAGACTTACGGCCAGATGGTGGCGCTGTAGCACCGCTTCAAAGCCTGGAAGCGTATTATTATTATTATTATTATTTAATTATTGTTAATAATAATAATAATAATAATAATAATAATAATAATAATAATAATAAAGGGCCCTTGGAGGTCATCTAGTCCAACCCCCTGCTCAGGCAGGAAACCCTATACCATTTCGGACAAATGGCCGTCCAGTCTCTTATCCCCTCCTTTGCTTGCAATGTCTTTAATAGTCTCCAGGGCTATCTTCCCTGCTCTGAAAAATGCACTTTAAAAAAACAACAAAAAAAATTCCTCTTTTTTGCAGAGTTTTGCCCCGTGGAGGAAGATCCCAACCATGCACAGGTTGCTGTCCAATCGTGCTCTGAATTTCCTGCCTTGGATAGGGAACGTGGGAAATGTTTTGGAGTCCTCCTGGCTCACAGGCAAGTCTTCTGTCGGGTCCAGGTCTCCTTGCCAAACTTTCCTCGCTTTCGGATATCTGCTTTTTTTTTTTTTTTAATAGTAAATTTACGTGCCCCTCACCTTGCAGCCACGCCATTTGTAATGCTCTTTTGTTGTAGGTAGAGAACGGATCGTGTTTTGCATGCATTCTCACCAAAACTCTGTTGTACAACGAAGTAGGAAACTCTGCACAGGGGTCTGGTACAACGTCAAGTCGCACATAAGTTTAAGCTCATCCCCTGGAATTTGTGAAATTGTACATTTTGAAAGGGACCCTAGTATACAAGTGTTTATGAAAGCGTCTACATCAAGCTTGGCCCCTTTAAAACAGGTGGACTTCAACTCCCAGAATTCCCCAGCCAGCGTGGGATTCTGGGAGTGGTCCAGACCTCTTAAAGTGGCCAGGGTTGAGAAACACTGATTAAGCCCCACCCAAAACCTAGATCAGCGTTTCTGTTTCTAGGTGGACTTCAGCTCCCAGAATTCCCCAGCCAGCGTGGAATTCTGGGAGTTGAAGTCCACAGATCTTAAAGTATGCCTTGCTTGCATGCAGGATATCAGTAATAACAAGCAGGTCACCCAGGAAAAACAACAACAACGAATGTATTAAATGCTGCTTGTCTTTTGACTGCATTCCAGGGCTTTGGAAAGTTAGAAAAAACAAACTAAAGTCTTGAAATGTTTCTGATTCTCTAACTTTAACCCTTCGTCTTCCGTGCAGGGCGACCAATTAGACACGCCAGCCCCCTCTCAACTTTCCTCAGCCCCCTGGAAGAAGCGAACCATTTCCCCCTCTATCCGAACCACATCCCCACCAGCCCCTTGCAAAAATGCCTGTTGACAGCCGGCTCGGCCTTCATGTCCCTCTACAACCCCTATCGCCACGGTGAGCTGGGTGTCTGTCTGTCTGTCTGTCTGTCTGTCTGTCTGTCTGTCTGTCTGTCTGTCTGTCTGTCT